CTGTTGGATAAACCCTTTGAAATATTTGTAAAAGCACTGCTTACAAGAGAACATCTCAGATGTTTTTTTATCAGTAGTATTGTGTGGAAGGCAGTCTTTATTGAAAAACCAGTGTTATGCCTCTAAATTGTATTATAAATTAAATACATTTGTCTCTGTAGTATAGCTAATACCTAATCATGTTTTCTTTACCAAGCTTTCACCAGGAAAAGTTTCGCATAACTTCAGGAATCTGGACTGTCACTCCTGTCCAAATCTTTCTTAGAACTGACCAAACTGCCAGAATAATTTAGAGCTCTTGTATTAAATGTGAGTCTCTTTGGAGTTACTAAAAAGGAGGTTTGACTCACTCTGTTTTATGTGGCAGGCTGTTGGATAAGGGCCTTAAGCACATTGATTTAGTCTTGGAAGGATTTGTTTGACACTTTGGAAGTCCAAAGATAATGGCATGTTGTATGTAGCTGTCTTATACATATACATACTAAACATTATTGTAATATCAAATTGTACTTTGTAGTTTTGGTGTAAAGTCTAAGAATTCCTCCTGTTAATTAATTACAGGGAATGATGATAGATGAAGCAGATGAATTTGTATCAGGACCTCAAAATAAACATAAAAGACCTGGAGAACCAAATATGCAAGGGATTCCAAAAAGACGACGCTGTATGTCCCCCCTGCTCAGAGGCCGACCACAAACTCCTCCGGTTGTGAATAACCATATTGGAGGAAAAGGGCCACCAACACCAATTGCACAAGCACAGCCTGACCTGGTTAAACCTATTGCTATTCACAAAAGTAAGTGAATCTTCAACTTCAGAGTTTGTTGTTTAATTTACGCAAAACTTGTTTGTGTAAAAATACTGTTGTTAAATGTGGCAGTTTTATACCTTGTTTTGGAAAATGAAGTATTCAGGTGTGCATCCGGGGTTAATTATGGAAAGTTCATGTAGTCCTTCAGACAGAAGTCTCTTTTGTATGAATTCCAAGTATAAACAATGTATTTCCTGTACTAAATGAGGCGACAGTGTAAACAGTGAGAAGGGTGTTCCTCCTTTGCCTGGAAATTCGCATGCTTCATAAGTATCACAACATGAAGTTATTTTGGATTTTGCTCTAATGCAGTGAAATCTCTTCCCTTATTGTGGAGTTGAGCTGCTCTTTAACAGTCTTGCTCACTGTTTAGTACTAAACGTAAGCTTGGTCAGTTTGATTTAATAGGAAAAGACAACATGTCATGAAAGCATATCTTACAAGTGGTTTTTATTGGTAGTCTGTAATTTCCTTTTTTTGTATTAAAAATATACCTGTGATTCTTTAAAAAACCATTAATTGCCAGGAGATGTAGTGATAGGCTCAGTGTTATAACCCACAAAAAGGTTTTCTTATGCCTGGTGTGTACAGTAAACTATACAAGCTGGAGCACAGTTTTAAGAGTCCAATACTGATCTGACTCACGAACTTGTATCAAATGAGAATGTGAAACTGGCAAGTGTAATCTTTGTTTTTTCAGCATCAGAAACAAATAATGAAGTTGCAAATAATGATGTCATTGAGAATCACGTTACAGACCCACTTTCACCAGATGTTTTCCCGAATTCTGTGGATTCAGAGTTTTCACTGTCGTCTTTGCCGTTCAATTCGTTGGATCGACCAGCAGCTCATGGAGATGATGTAGTCCATGAGCATTTAGGGAATAATTTGAATGTTGATGGGTTTTTGGAGAACCATGAGGAATCAGGTAGTAAAGAACAAAGTACTGAAGAGAACTTGCCAATGTCTTCACCCAGCAAAGGAAAAAAAGCAGTTCATTGCAGAAGTTCCAGAGAGATTAATATAGAGCTAAGAGCAGAAATTATGAAAGAGATCCGAAAACCAGGAAGAAGTAAGTATGCAAAATTTCTTTCAGATGATTGGCATGAGAATTAAACAGAGAATTTATATTAGATTGCCATTTTAGGAATGTACTGAACCATAAGTCTGAAGCAAATACATTTAAAGCTGAAAAGGTTTGTTTTAAAATATCTGCTAAAAACTTCCTGTACGAGTGACTAAAATATTGCTTTACTTATCAATGTTCATGAAAGCTGTGGTTTTTGTATCATCAGTATTAGACTTAACTTGTTAGGTGTTCCAGTAATTCCCTGAACTGCAATATTCTGTGTTTTTTAATGTTAGTTTTCATTAAACAGTGTGTCATTAGTGTGGTTGATAGGAGATACAGCCTGAAAGTGTACAAAAACTTAAAGTCTGTTGCATTTCACTCAGATCTATTACAACAGATATCTGTATAGGCATTTTTAAATAACTGATTTCTCTTTTCTTTACCTCTAAGAATATGAAAGAATCTTCTTTTTACTGAAAAATGTACAAGGAAGCTTACAAACCCGACTGATCTTTTTACAAAATGTTATTAAAGAAGCTTCAAGGTAGGTAACTGAATTGTATTAATCTTATGAACTGCACCATCTAGTGCTATACATAACTGCTTGACAACCATGCAGTTACTTGTTTGGAAACAATGCACTACGAGTAAGTAATTCCCTATGAAAAAAAAGAAGGGCTTAAGTTTCCTGAGATGTTGTTTGCACAAGCTTATCTTTTCCCCTCAGATTTTGTCTTAAAAATTTTGCAACTGTAACTGTCAAGTCACTGTAAACATAGATGGACAATGGGATAGAAAGAGTAGGTAACTTTAAAAAAACATCAGATTTCAAAGTTCAGGTGTGAGGATACTGCTAATTTGAAAACCTGATGGAGCTGCATATTACTGTGACCTGAGCTTTCAGAAACAGTTGAAATTAATTATTTTGCATCAGCACAGTCCTGTCCTAAAAATAGTTTTGAGATCCAAGTATGGTCTGGAAATACATGTTTACTCTTTAGACATATTTAATTCACATATTATAGTCCTGTGTGAGACTTTGGAAATGGAGGTAGCTTTTCACTGAAGAAGAGACTTGCTGGGGATTTAAACCCTGTATTGTTATAAGATCACTGTAACTCACTTTTTCTGCACAGCCTCTTTGTTCCACCTATCTTAAGTTGAGACTCTTTCTGCAGTCTTTGGTAGTGATTGAGTGTTGCTTTTGGATGCATCAGAATTAAATCCTGTCTCCTACCATGACCTACAGTTTTCTGTATCTACTGGTGGAAAAGGCTGGCTTTTCTTTGTTTCTGTTTTTTGTTGTTTGTTTCTGTTGACTGTTGTTAAACTTCAATTTTTATTGATTTGAGTGTAGGAACAGCTCCATCTCCCTCTTCCTCTTCTCCTGTTGGTTATATTTTTATAGTGTGATCAATTTATCCACCTGGATAATACTGCCTACAAACCCTATGCACTTCTCTGCATCCTTCCTTATCCAGTCAAGCGATCAAATTTAACCCAGGTTTCCTGCTCCCTGCATGAAACATCTCTAGGCCTTCCAGAACTGTCATCACAGTTTTGTTTTGTTAACTGATAGCTGACTTTCCAATGCCATGGAATGCAATTCAAATTTGGGATGGCTACTTTCTTTCCCTGCTTCAAGAAGCTCCATCTCTGAACACAGGCTAGGGAAAGCTCTGGATCACTTCAGCAGCAAAATGTATTTATAAAGAGCCCCATTCAGTTTTGGAGGTTAGTCCATTATAGTTGTAAGGGGAGAAGAAGACTTATAAAACAATCCCTAGCTTTCAGCATCCTTTGGAAACTGACTGGCCCACAGTTCCTCTTTTGGCAGCAGAAAAGCTATCACTTTTGAGAGGCAATGAGGAAAAATGGAGGGGAAGCAGTACTTGAATGTGGTGTGTCTTTGGAATACTGAGGACAACTGTAAGAAAGATGGGTAAGAGGCCAGAGCATGGGTATTCACTGACGTAGCAGTTGGGAATGGGAGCTTGTTTTCCCCATAGTCAAGCTGGGATTGTGGATATTGCTGTGATAGGGAAATCAGGGCAGATACCATGTCTCTGTGAGCCGACAACACAGACCAGGATGCCTGACTAGAACCTAGACGCTTTTGCTGGGCTTTAGTGAGGCCAGAGGACTAAACTTGGTGTATAGTTCAGAATGGTTTCATTGCTGCCTACCTGTAAGCACACATGTGGCTACCTAAGCATTGGTGAGAAGTGGCTTCTCAGGCACAGAAATGTCACAAGGGGAAGGGTTATCTGGAAACAGCAAGGAGTTTTACTTGTTGAGGCAGGGAGTGTAAGCAAAGGTGATAGAATGGCCTACTGTTAAAATTTATTCAATATATATGGATTATGCCTATATTTCTCTTTAATATTTGTCAAAATCTCATTTGTATTTTTGTCAGGAAATCTGCTCTGCACTGTGTAATGGCTGTTCCTTCACCAGTACCAACTTCACTAACCTTTTGTGAATGCACCATGAATGCATGCAGAGAATTCCTAAAAGCTGTTGACAGTTTTAGGATTACAGTTCTTCTGACATATATTTTATTTCTGTATTTCAGAACTACTTCTGGAAACAGCATACACTTAACTCTCTTTTACCTGGTTTTATGAGGGCTGAGTGATGTTCAGCAATGTGCTAGGATAGACTGTAGTAAACATAGTTTTGCACTCATAAAATGGAAAAGCAAGTTAGCAGTTTACCAGAATGTTAGGAGACAGCATATATACATATGAGGTATGTGTAGTCTCACCATGTGCTGGTCCTAAAGTAATAACTGAAGCTTCCAGAGTTCAGTAGAAGTTTTCTGAGTGACGTTTCATGTATTACTGTGTGCATCCATTATCATGTTTTCTTTTAAATACAGGTTTAAAAAACGAATGCTAATAGAACAGCTTGAGAGTTTTCTGGAAGAAATCCATCGCAGATCCAATCAGGTCAACCATATCAACAGCAGCTAAGAAACTGCACACAAGAGAAAGCCACAGCAGGGCACTGCTGTCCTTAATTGCATTCATTTTTGACATGCACTCTTATCTCCAAGTTCCTGTACCTGAAAGAATGAGAAGCTGCTCTATAAAATGATGAGAAGAGTATCCATCATCTTTTTTTTTCTTCACTTCTGTTATTTTTGTAATGTGAAAAATACTACAAGAAATTTTTATTTAACTAAATGCAGAACTTCTTGCTTGTCATGGACATAAGTGTCACTTTCCCTCAGGTTCTATTTTTCTTAATCCAACCTTCAAAACTATCACCTCTCAAGGTTGAACTTTGCCAAAAAGTTGCTTTGTAATTTTCAAAAAAAAAAGCACATACATTAAACAAGGTAATGTTTTGTATATACAGTTATTTTGGATATATTATTGTAAGTTGTATAAATGTATTTTGAAATATATTTAAGAAAAGCACTTTTGTTATTCCATCAATAAAATCTCTATTTTAATCTTTGTGTGGGATTGAGTACAGTTTTTATTGGAGTGATTCGTTTTGCCTTCCCTTCTCAGAGCTTATATATTCTGGTATCATTGTTAAAGAATTGAGTAGTTTTGTATTACTGGGTATTCCATTAATCAGAGAATGGGTGAAAGAAAGATAATGCTGAACTGCAACTACATTTGGATGATATCTTGTGTACTTAGCCCTCCACTGTTTTGTGGTGTTCTGTATGCCCATTTACAGCAATGACAAATGCCTCAGTTTTATTGAGAGATAGAGTGGGGTAAAGCAATGAGTCAGTAGTCTTTAAGAAAGGCTGTGCAGGGTTTTCTTGTGTCAGAAGTTTTTGTGTTTACAAGTGCAGGAATAACCAGAAGGTGCTGCTGCTTGGACACAAAACATCACTGATTGCTTTACTGGCCTTGTCTTTCATCAGTGCTAGATGAGCCCTGAATTTCTGGAAAGCCTTGTTTGATTCAGTGAGAGCTAAAACAAACAGTCCTCTCTGCTTTTTGTAGGAGTCAGTGATTTGCAATTTTCACTCAGAATCTCTGGGCCTTGGGTTCTAGTGCTTGTACTGTGAATTGCTGAACACTTGCTGTATCCCAGCTTTTGTCAGGATCATAGGATCATAGAATTAACAGGGTTGGAAGAGACTTCTGAGATCATCAAGTCCAACCCCACCGTGATTATTAGGTCATGGCACTCAGTGCCGCATCCAGCCTCATCTTAAAAACCTCCAGGGATGGTGAATCCACCACCTCTCTGGGCAGGCCGTTCCAATGCCTGATCACTCTCTCTGTGAAGAACTTCTTTCTAATATCCAGCCTAAACCTTCCCTGGCAGAGCTTAAGCCCGTGCCCTCTTGTCCAGGACGCTAAAAAAACCCTCACATTTTCTAGATGCTTTTGGCTTCATTCAGTGTTCCTTAGGAGTGTCCATTTTATGTTGTATACACCTCAAAGGTAGTAAAGGTATTAATGTTACTTTTTTTGGCAATAATATTTGTTTGGTCAGTGATTGAGTGGATGTTCCTGCTTCCTGTCTGCTCTGACTGGAATAGGCTGCCCAGGGAAGGGGTAAAATCGCCATCCCTGGGAGCGATCAAAAATGTGTAGATGTGGTGCTTAGGGACTTGGTTTAGTGGTTGATTTGGCAGTGCTGGGCTAAGGGCTGGACTCGATGATCTTAGATGCCTTTTCCAACCTTTATGATTCTGTGCCAGTTTTGAAATAGCCTTTCAGCTTAATTTTCTTTTCACAGCATCTTGCTGTTTGCTTGATACCTTACTATCTCAGCTGGATTATATCTGTCTGGGGTCAGACTGAACTTCAGTTTTATTCTTGAGCTTTTGACTTCAGGACAGGGAAATGAAATTGTGCTTGAAAAATAACATCACAAAACTTTCTTGTAAGATGCTTTCATTCAGATGACTTACATACTCAGCAACAGCCAAGCTTTTTAGCCATGATGAAGTTAAGCTGAAGCTGTTGGCCTATGCTGTTAAATATTTAAGGGGCAAAATCTCTTTAGTTTTTTTTCTCAAATGTTTATATGCTTACTGTCTTTGCTGTAGTTGTGATGCTCATGATTCCTAGACAACTATTAAGTTTCCAACAGTGTGTACAATGTAATAAAGTAGTGGAGGGCTTATTCTCACTTTTTCTTGCAAAAGTGTTACTGCTTAAAGCAGTGTTTAATAAATACATATAATGTAGCCTTTAATTTCATTGGAGGAATGCTCACCACAGGAGGAACAGAAGACAGTGTATTTGTTTAGTGCTTATCACGAAGGATTTGTGACTCTTCCTATAAAGAGTATCGAACCTGTAAATGAAAACAATGTTATTTCAATTTGGGAGCTTACTTTCAAAGTGTAGTTCAGTTTAAATACATAAACTAAGCATGGAATTAGCAGATCATGGAATCACTCGTTGCTTGTATGGAAACTGACTGTAACTGCACCCTTGTTTTTAGAAGAATTTGAACATTTCTGTATTTAAAAACAAAAAGACCTTCCCAAATAGTTGTTAACCCCAAATTAGAAGTTTGCCAAAATCTGAAACCTACCCAAATCATTGGCTAAAGAATCACTTCTGAACTGAGGAAAACAGAGCCTGAATTGTTGCATTGTGTTCATGTTTGTTACAGAAGAGATTATTACAACCCCGTGAATGAAATCACTGCCTCAAATATACTATTTGTTGTTTGTATTGCTGGTACCTTGCCTGTCCTTCAAAGGGAATGTGTTCAAACCTGAAATTCAGATTAAAAAACTAACTTTTTAATTATTTTGAGCAGAACTATGCCATTTTAAGTCTTGGAAAACGTATTTCTACTCTTACTAGAAGATTGATGCAATGAAGACTCTTGGTCTATATAAAGATTCATTCTGAACTTATGGACGTAGTGAGTTTTAAGCACCTCTAGATAGGTTGGTAAAATATATTAGCAGTCGATCTTGTTTACCCTCCCCTTCTCATACCTGAAAAACTTGTCACTAAGTCTGAGCAAACAAAATGACTGGCATTAAAAAACTAAAAGTACAGAAATGTACTTCTGATTTTGAGTTGATTGGAAAGAATTTTATACTTTCCATAAATATCCTATTTTACAATGTGATTGCCTTTCTTTGTATAACATATATTGTAAACTGAGCCATTTTATTCACCAAAATCAGTTTGCTCTTAATCTTTGCTCTGAAGTCTATGGCTCAGGCTTCATAGATGAGCTTATTGCTGCCTTTTTATTTTAAAATTCTGCGCTAGCCAAGTAAACATACTTTTATTCATTAACTGGTAATGATTGCCAAAGCATATTTAAAACTAAAAGTCCACCAAGGTAGTTATTTTTCTCTTTAAAAAATAGCTACTTGCATTGTGATGTTGAAATGTTAAGATACGGGTTTTTAAAGCAGACTATTGCATACACAGGTATTCACTGACTAAGAGAAGACTGTGTTGCTTGGAAGCAGGTAAGGATAATTATTCTCTCTGGTCTTCTTGCTAGGCCCCAGTGTTTTACTGAACGCTGTAAGTTACTGTGTTCCCTGGAAATCTAAACAGATGTGATCACCAGTTATGAGAGAAACTTGGTGGTTTGAAGGATTTACTTAAGCTGCAAATTTACTGCATTGCTAAAGATGGTAAGAGCAGGAACAAATACCTGCTAAATGGTGCATAATGCAATTATTTATTATTGCCAATGAGCTATATGGTGTTTTCTTTTGGCATAGATTCTGGAATAATGTGGTTGGACATCTGAAATGGGACAATAATACTGAAGCTAAAGGAGCACTGTGATGCTTCACTCTCAAGACCTGCTCTGCAGTTTTGTTTGTGTTTTTGGTTGGATTTTTTTTGTTTGGGTATGGAGGTGGTCAAGAAAGAAAGTTACCAGTTGCAAAAGAAATGCCTTTTTTTTTTTAATGCCAGAAGTCTGGTTGCTGTTTGGCATCAGTGTAGGCATGTGTAAGTTACATTCATAGGGAAAGATTTCTATTTTAGCTACTTCTAATGCTAATCCAGCCAGTTTGTAATTTGAATAACCCTGTGGAGTTCAGTCCTTAATGCTGGGGCACTTAAGATCTGTAAGATCTTTCTAGTGCCTATAACTGTTGTAGAAATCTCTGAGCTTCTACTGCATGTCCAGAGAAGAGGCTAATCTGGCTTCCCTGACTTCTATGACTGTTGTGCATTCTTTTCAAGGAAATTAAACTGTATTCTTTATGCTTTAAAAACCTAAACCTCACTGTTCCCATGTTTGATGAAATTTCCTGGATTGAAGAATGGTAGGCTATTTACAAAGAGCTTGTATTGATTTCAGTGCTACATAAGAAGGATTCTGCTCCTGAAAGGCAGAGCATGCATACCTGTATTAGTTTGTCTCAGAAAAAATGTGAAGGGTCGATCTGCTTTGAAAATAGGTGTTCGAGATCTTTTTAGTAATACCATTGCTGTAATACAACAAAGAAAACATTAGTAAAATGCATCCATTTTCTTTGCATCTTTTGTACAGTGCCCTCAAGCTCTGATGTTTAGCACCTTGAGTTTTGAATTGCTCCTCTACTTTAAACTATAAAACAAAAATTTTATCCAACAGTGAAATCAGTCTGGTTGAATTAATGAGTCCAGAGTTGTGAGACTACATGCAGGTGATTGCGTGTATTTTGATGCTGAGGTGAGTCCTTCTGGCTTTGGATTTCAAAGGTAATGTAATTTTTGATGTTGTTGCAGCCCTAACTCTGCTGAAGTCATACCATGCTATTGTCGCACCTGTTAGCCAATTCCTGGCTATGCTGTTCTGATGAAAAAGATAAGCAAGGCACAAATGTAGTCCCTTTTCTAATTAGGAGACATGCAGGAGAGAAGTATCTGTCACCCTGGAATTTCCCTTGGCAGAGCTCTGAACAAAACCAAAGTATCCTCAGTCTCAAGTTATGACTGATTTTACCCTCTCTGTGGGTTAATTATTAGATTAAATAAAGAATCCTTGAGAATTATGATGGCTCAGCTACTATTAAAACACATCTTTAAATAAATTCTTCCTTGTAGCTATGGTAGTATTAAGACTGCATTGTCAAAACACCCCAATACTAAAACCACCAGATTCAGATTATTTTTTGAGAAGTTAAAACAATGGAATTAATTTGAAGACTCAAGTAAGACAGAGTAAAACTAGTTTGAGAAGCAGTGTTTTAATGCTCCTAAAAGAGTGCCTAGTTTAGCCTTTCAAGCCACCATGTAACTAGATCCATAACTTTTAAAGTAAATAAATATATTTTAAAATCAGCTTCTTAGCTTGGTCTGACTGGAGTTAAGGGAAGTTTTGGCATTGATTTCAATGGGATAAAGGTCTATTACCCTTAGATTGAAGCCATCTAAAAGCTTTTTTGTATAGGGATTACCAGAAAAATTATGAAAAATAATAGAGATGAAAATGGTTTCAAAATTTAAAACTACAGCTCTGCAGAAAGGTTAACTTGGTTACATCACTTTTGCTGTACACCCACCTGTGTACTACACCTGTTGGATTCAAAACTGTTTCTAGAGCAATGCTATAAATACACCAACTCAGCTGTGCCCAGGTTCTTTTTGGCATTGCGACTGTGGGATGTTTGAGTGAGGGAATGTGCACACTGCAGGGAGGTTCACTGCTCTCTCTATGGGCCTCTTGAATTCCTTCCTGGAAGCAAGGAGGAGAAGTGGAAGAGGCTCAGATTTTGCCCTGATCCACAGTCAAGGACCACCACCAGCATTTGCATTGTGCCTGTGGAGCGCGTCTACAGTCGGCACAGCTCAGGGAAGGAGAAAGGTGAGAAGTGGTTAATGATCACCCAGCTGCCGTGCTGATGTCTGAACGGCTTGAGGGCAAGTTCAGCCTCTTCAGACAAGGAACCGAAGGGGTTTAGGATTACAGTTGCTTTCTGTGCTCGCTTGGATCATCTGAGGCTTCCAAAGACAAAATAAGAAGAGCAGGGGCCTTCTTTGATAAGGCTCATGTGACCAATAAAAAAATGGAAGGCACAGCTCATTAATTTTGGTTCCCCTACTTTATGTAAATTGTGTGAAGGATTTCTACTGAGACGTCATTCAGCTGATGAAGGTCATTTACTGACTGTGTAGTCCATAGCCGAGATTTTACTCTGAATCTCCCTGTTCACCCAAGCCCAGCTGCTCATGTGGAAATGATCCTGTAACAGAAGCTACTGCACATGAAGGTCGCACTTCAAAGTATGTAAGAATCAAGCCTGTCTTTGTAAAACTTTCCCATCGTTACTTTTCGTGCTATCAAAGAGATCATCTTCAAATCTCAAAGCAGTTCAGGCACTATAGATAAAATATTACTAACCTTTTCTCATTGTTTGTTTTTACAATCTGAGTAAACATATTTGACCAACAGAAAAATAAGTTGTTTATTCTCTCAAGCAGCAAGTTGATAAAGTTGTTTTTCATTAGAGCCTTTACATGTCAGATTGAGATAAAAAATTAAAGATTTTTATGAACATTTACGGAGGTAAAATGGAAGTGTGTTAAATAAAAAAAGTTAAATTTAGATTAGGCATACATTTAAATGCTACCATGCTTGTTTGCTTTATTTTAAATAAAAGTCTAGTAGTTGATTTTGTAATAGTTATGTCTGTATATTTGATTTACCTGTAGCTCCTGATGCCTTTGTGCCATCTTCTGTTATTTCAATCTCTGCTTTGTGAATAACTTCTGAAATATAAAGACTATCTTGATCTGCAAAAAATCATGTTAATAGTTATTTTCTGAATTCCATTACAAACTTATTTTTAAAAATAATCAGAATGCTTTTACCCTTTTTTCTGGAGAATCTAAGGATCATATGACTGTTAGGTATTTTAACCATCTTTGACTGTTTTCCGCCTATATGGACAATAGTGGACTGAATGCTGAATGGGAGTTACTAGTTTGAGAGGTCTGCAGGTTGTGGTGAAAGTAGAAACTAATTAGCATGGTGAGGACAAGGCAAGAACTGAGGAACCGTTGAAAGGAAAATGGCAGAAAAAAAATGCTCTTCAGGAAGAAACAACGTGACTGTGACCTAAAATGGAGCTTGGAAAAAAACTGTTTCAGAAAGCTACTGCAGAGGGTATTTATTACAAGCCTGTTTCTCTCCAGCTGACTGAGGAGGGCAGAAAGCAAGGAAGGTTGGCAGACTTTTTTTCTTGTCAACTGCTTCTACAAGCCTCATTCTCTGATGGAAGCCACCAGGATGCGTACATAGGAAGGCAGCTGCTAAATTATGTTGTTTATGGAGTTAATTTCCTCCAAGCATGTATCTTATTTAAATGGATATTAACTTTTATAAAATACATCCTTGTGCACTTCATCACTATATTAATATTTGTTTGCAATAAACAAAGCAGCAGGCTTTAAAAAAAAAGTGAGCAGTAAAACTATTTTAATGTGCATCTGTTTGCAGTCTGAGATATAGAACATAACAATAGAACATTGCTATGTTCAATTTTAAAGGTGGCATGAAAAACTCCATGAGAAATGTGCCTTCTGAGGTTCATCCCAGGAAAGTAATTTTTCTGTAAGAGCAGGTTTGAATTGAAGGAATTTCAGATATTCACTCTCATGCACAAGAATGTGAGCTGCTCTCTAGCCTGCTACCACTCTGAATCTTTACTAAGAGCAGAAATGACAAAGGTGAAATTCTTTGTGTTGCTGGAAATAGTCAAAGGAGAAAGAAAATGCATAATTTGGATTCTTTTTGTATTTAATATTAAATAGGAGCAAAAATTTTCCAAGGAGCAGAAGAATTTCAGGCTTCCCAAACCAAGAGTTTAATCACAACACCAGTATTTTAGCAAAGTATAACTCCATCCACTGCTCACTGGATTAGCAAGATAACATAGCCTGGGCATATACCACTATTGTTTGTAGTGTCAGGAGCTGAAATACAGACTTGTTGGTCCAGCATCCCTAACTGTTAAATGACTATTTAAAAACACAAAATAGGATGATTTAGTACAACTTGCATTCCTAAATTTCTGAATAAATAACCATTTTCCAGGCCTATGCCATCTTGACAGTTTTAGTCTTAAAGGAAACAAAAGGAAAGTAATCTCAAGACCCAAACAAACCCTGTCCTTTTCAGGTTCCTCTTTTCCACAAAAAGCTCAAAATTTTGTCAGTTGCCAGTGATAAAGTAGACAATTGAGTGTGATCTGTGTTTTAGAGTTGCACAGAGAAAGCAGTGCAACTAATTCAGAAGACACAGGTCTACCAAATCATTTAAAGGTGAGAGTCTACAACTGTTGGGTCAAGGATCATTTTGTATTCAGTCAAGTCTCTTACCTGAAATGCCTTTAAAATTAGCAGTGATGGGATCAAATGCGTCTCTAATTCCCAAGGCAGAAAAAACTGTCTTTAGGTCAAAAAGGCTTTGAATACTGAACCTGAAATTATTATGATAGATTTATTTAAATACAGGATTTTCATAGAGTTAAAAGCATAACAGATGCAATTTGTTTCAAGCCTTTCCATTTCATCCATCTATTCCTGTATGAGCCCAGTGCATGCTGTCTGATTAAATGTACTTTGCAGAAAAGCACCTCATCTTCACCTGAAGATGTTAACAGAAGGAATCCATCACCACCATCTGTTGCAATCAGATTGCCTTTCAGTCTTCTTGACATGTGAACTCTGCATTTTTCCAAGTTTGGCTATAGCAAGTGGCACTTTGAAACATTTGCCAGTGATTAGCTTGGAGAAAAAGAATATTAATATATACACAGTTTCTCGGTGCTTTATTAGTGTGATGAATGCAGTGTAAGAGATGTGTAATGAAGCCCTTCCAAGCTGATCCAGTAAGTACAGCCACAGAAGGCTTCCTGCACGTGATTCCTTCTGCTATGCAATTTCATTGGAATAGATGATAGAAAATACCTGCAGGGTATGCGTCTGTTAACAACAGCAAATGACTAAGGTGAAAAATAAATGACGTGAAAGATGGGTATGACTATGAGGGTAGGGGTGTGCAGAAGTTCTTTGTACAGTGCCTTTTTGCAGTACACTGACAAGTTTAAAAAACACATGATAGTCTTTACAAGTTTATGTATTTTTTTTCTCCCTTAAGCAAAGAGAAAAATGGAGTGTGGGAAAGGTCCAGCAACATATCTCTTTTAGATCCTTAAAGGACTGTTAACCCCAAACAAATTTTAAGTAAAACCTTGTAGGATCAACTGAAATACTTAGGTTTTTTAAACAGTACAGAGCATACCAGAAAGTCTTGTCATTCCCAGCTCACCTATTTGTGGCTTAAGAAAGACCATCTCTGATTGTGAGATGAATAACAAAACAGAAAGCACGTCACTTGGTTTTGCTCACATATTGCTCATGAAGGTGCTATCACATGAAATTCTGACAACTGAAGTAGTGAAGCCATCATGCTAACATTGCTTACCTAGGTAAAAAAATGTCCATCTTTGTTCTCTTTAAGCTGTTGGCCCAGAGGGTTATGTCTTTGGCAGAAAGGTGAGACTCAATCTGGGACAAAGGCGTTCTTTTATGGTTGGGAAGCACTAGGAACATGCTGAGTTTCTCCCCCAGGTAGGGTAACTCGACCACACTGAAAGCCTCCAGAGTTGCAGTCTGGAACTGGCCTGTGGGTGGGCAAATGTAGATCTCATTTCATTATTGAAGTGGGAACAAACCCCCCACCCCCAAACCCACAACCGTAGCTGGGGTCAGGAGACTAGTTCAGAGCAGCTGTGGTAGCATTTAAAGAGTTGTCTGTAGCCAGCTCATGTTGCTATTAACTCACAATAGTCTCTCGCCTGAACAGAGCTGATGGTGAGAGAGACATATGTATATTGGCAGAAAAGTGCTAATGCCAGTAATAGTACCCAAAGCACTGCCTCAACGGGGCATGGGTATTTTATTACTTTCTCATATAAGAGCTGTCCTCCTTGCTCAGAGTTTAAAAAATACTACCAAGGCACTGACAATAAATAACTATGATGACTCTTCCCGCAATGCATGTTCTTTGACTAAACATGCAATTTTATAATATCTTTCACTAAAATTTTAGTGCTGATGGAAGTTACAAAAACAAAAAGAAGTATCCTACTTAACTGAAATCTACTTTGCCTCATGTTTCTGTCTTTGTGACCTTTAAAAATCAGTTTTAACCTTATTTCAAGAAGCAAATGGTTATATTAAACAATAGTTTATGCTTATTTAAGCATCATATTTATAATTTGAGTCTACTCTTTCTTCACCTGGCTGTAGTAGTTATATCTTCAAGGTGCTCACACTTGCTGAACCAGGGATTGTAAATAACAGAATATATATTGCTCATGTTCATAATATCTAAATATTTGGCAATATGTTCATATAGCTATAGGATGTCTGAAATACTTAGTGTACAATATTTTGTTAGTTTTGCAGATATGGACTAGATAGGATTCATAAAGTGTTGATTATTCTGCTAGATTAAATCTTAAACTCTTAGATGAGCCCTCCTGCCTTGCAACATGGAGAGAGAATTGCTCTGTTAAACCAACTCCCAGCATGTGGATCATTTGCTAGGAAAAGATGTTCTGGTTTCTAATGGGCAAACAAGGAAGATTTACATTTGTAGTGCACTGGGCATGAGTGGTTTAATTTGCAGGCATGCTGATATTTTGAAGTCAGCACATTCTGTGCAAAGGTTATACAGTCCTTATTTGTTAATTAGAAAGAAAATCAAAGACTTAATATTATTGAGTCAGAGCATTTAGTGTTCCTTGCTTGAACTGATTTTGAGCATCCCATAAGGATTATACATATGCTAAATTAGAATTCAAATATCGTTTACAAATTGCTTGGAAAAATGAATATGTAAACTAGCTGCAGCGTTTAAGAGGCGTGTGTAAACAGTAATGTTGACATTTTCTTAGAGTAGTGTTACTTGTCCCCAGGCTGGTTTGTTCTGCGTGGCAATGTTAACAGGATAAACAATGTTGTAAAAGCTGCAGTTGATAGTAGGTTACAGTTAATCTTTCTCACTCTGTGCTTTTTTGTATCCTGGTGGGAGACAGCTACTATCACTTAATAATGACAGAGAGTTATCTTGGGTCTCTGTTTAGTTGTACTGAGCCAGTCTTTTGCATTTGTTTCAAACTGATTTGTTAGAAATGTTTCTGGCATTTTTAGAGACAAAGAGTGAATTGGCCCAATCAAGTCTGACAATCAGCAAATTTTAAATGATGCCTTTCATTTTGCCTTTTCTTAAAAGTCTCTCCAGCTGCAGAAAGCTCACATACTTCAGGCTGGATTAGTATTTTGGCTAACTTTTCTGTGCAAATATTTAGTGCTTCAGTTACCTACTTAAGGAGGATAGGATGGAGTTCTTGTGTTTAGGCAAGTGGTCAAATAAGAACTAACAATTTCACATCAAGTTTGCAAGGATTCTGCTGCAAATATAGGGTCAGACAATGCCGTTCAGCTGCTGAATTCCTGGTCATTGGCTTTCCATGACTATACCCACTTGTATAAGCACTGGCAGCCTCCTGACTGTTGTTTTGGACCTCTCATTTCTCTATTTCACTCTACTAAAAGGGAAAGTTCAGAGAAAAGGTCCATTCTTAAGGTAATAGCTGTACTTGGGGAGCTTCTTTTGCCACGTGCTTCTGAAATACATAGTGCTCACCAAGTATGTTCCCAAGAAACCTATTTGTTTATCTCTTAAAGCAATGAAGGGTAAGCTATTCAAGACATCATGGATAGCAAAAGGCCTTGCCGTGAGCTGGTGATACAAAATCACCCAGGGCTGAAAAATCGAGTTGATGTAGTAGTTCATGTTGCTCAGCAACAAGGAAGATGAGGTGTAGGGTTTTGGAAAGGGAAACGGCACTCCTCAGTAAAGTAATTTAACTTGTAAAAGGTTAAAATGTAAATAGGATGGGAGTGCTTCAAGTCAGAGGTGTGAATGCAGTCAGGAGCTGGCAGTCCCAGCAGGAGGAAGAAGCCATGGTGGGACTTCCTGAGTGTCCAGGAAGAAGAGATGCCACAAAGAAAGACGTAACTGTAAGGACAAACTTGCAAAGAGCATAAGAAATGATTTCTTGATCAGGTGAGTTATGATTCAGAGATAAAAAGGCATAGAAATAATGAGCTGCAATCTGCCTGCTTGATGTGACTGTTGCACAGCAAAGGAAAATGTTTTAGCCATATAAGCTATTAAGCCATATAAGCTATTAGATATTTTTTTAGATTCATGCCAATTATTTGTTGGTGCTGGTGGCAAAGAAGTAATCTGATGACAGAGCAAAAGATAATGGTGAGGTTCCTAATGGAAATGAAGAAAGGAGTAATTACACTATCAGAGATGGAAACAAAGTTCACATTACTTCACATCAGAAGTTCACATCACATTAGAGAGACGAATAATAATCTGGAGCCTGGATGATCACCACCCCAAAAATATGAGAAGAACTTGGATGTAGAATTGCAAACGAGCAAAATTTTTAATAGACTGTAATTCAGTTGTTTCCCATGATTGGAAAAAAGGAGTCAGTTTATAAAGAAAAAGAAAGTAATCTGGGAAGTTGTAGAAAGTACTCTGGAGAAAAGAATAATCAAATCACAGAGGGAAATAGAAAGTGAGATAAATTACAATATATCATAGACTAGCAAACAAATCTATAAACTTTTTTGACTCAATAATTAATTTGATAAAAAGGCATAGATCCAGCCATCTAGTTTTAGATAGAACAGTAAACATAATTTCACTGTGGCACTATTTACAAGTAAAAGTGATGGCAATTAGAGCTGGCAAAGAAAAGCAGCACACAGACACTTGAAGCAAAAGCGTGGCTCCTGGGTTGAAAAGAGTTACTACTGGCTTTCCAAAGTATTGTCCACACTGAAGACTTTCATCAAAGACAGGGATTTGCCATGATGACTAGAGTGGTGGAAATCAAATGGTGGTTCAAAAACACACAAAAAAGAGATACATGCAAGTGGAGATTTCCCTCCCCTTGATTTACCTAGGACTCATCAGCTGGAAAAAATTGCAGAAAGGAAGAAGGCCCAGGTGGGGCCAACCTTGAGTAACCACTCTGAGCTGGTTCTGCACTACACTATGCAAAGTACTTTTAGAAAGACATAGAAATACTAAAATCATTTTAACAAGCATGAATATAGCTTCATTAAAAGTGTTGTTTACATTCCTGATCATTCTCAAGAAAGATTGATTTAAATTTGTGTTGTGGTTTTGCCCAGCCAGCCAGCCCCTGGGGCTGAGGATGGTTTTGTCCAGGTGGATTTCCGGACAAAAAGCCAATCAAAACTCTTAGTGACGCCTTTGCTAATTACATATTTAAGAAAACGGAAGAGAAGGTTGGTTGCGCAGTTGAAATTAGGAGCAGCAGCCATGTAGGAAAGGCGGCGGCGGGCCCCGAGGTGGGCCAAGGCTCCCTCCTCCCCTGGCCTGGGCTGGGGGCAGGTGTAGCACTGAAACCCCCCTTCTCTCTTGTAAGAGAGTGGAAAAAAACCAACTTTAGAGGACTGACTGTTTGGACGAGAAACCGCTGCAGAAAAATTCCGGCAAAGAGATAAGGGACTTCCAAGGTCGAAGCTGGCAGCTGCAGGAGAGAGAAGGAAAGTTCGAAGGAGGGGGGCTGCTTGTCCTCCCTTTCGCTCTCTCCCTTCAGCAGGGAAAAGACTGAAAAATAATCCCTGCCACCTGTAGAAGTTTGTTGGGGTGAGGAGACCCTCATGCGGCTCACAGAGGAGCTTGTGGATGTACCAGGGAGCCGAGACTTCATGAGAGGGACTGAAATGAGGCAGAGTCCTGTTGAAGATTTATGACCCTGAGAGCTTACACCGGAGCGAAAATGGCTCGGGTAAGCTTGGGAATCTCAGTGAGAGATCCATGCTGTTAGTGCTGAAGGTTTATGACCCTAAGAGAGAGGCTTACGCCGGAGTGAAAAAAGGCTCGGGTAAGCTTGGGATCCAAGTGAAGGATCCATGCTAGACCCATGTCGGAGAGGACTATTGAGGACTGTTCTCCCGTGGGGAGGGACCTCCACAGGAAAACAGGGGTGGACTCATAAGTCATTATCCCCTGTGACTCTGTGGTGAAGATCCATGGAAGGCAAGTGTCCCCTTGCAAGTCCATGGAAGAGAAGACCTTCAGGGCCTGGGTAACCCCCAGCCTCCAGTCTTAGCCCAGGAGGGCGGTAGGCCCAGCCCTGGAAGCCGACACAGAGAAAGAGAAAAAGAGAAAGACTTCCAGCTGCGACAAGAGTGCTGAAGAGACCTGGAGCTCCGAGAATGGAGAAAGAAACTGCTTCTCCTCCTTGGACTGATACAAAGGGGGGAGAGGTATTTCTGTAAATACATAATACTTTTACTTAAATAGAATTGTTATAGATATAGTTCTTTAGTTTTAGCTTGTTAGCAATAAATGTTAATATTATTTTTCCCCAATCCAGTCTCTTTTGTCTGCATAAACCTTCTCTCAATTTACAGTAATTGTGTGGAGAGTGAGAGCAAATTGACCCAGAGCAAAACCATGACAATTTGGAAAAGTGCAAAAAAAGAACTAGTAGAGAATTGGAGCCTGGTTTTCAAATAGCTTAGAAGAGCCAGCTTCTTCAGCTTATCTGACAGGAAATTGAGAGGCAGCTTGGTAACTTGCAAATAACATTTGGGAATAAATATCAAAGCTGAAGAGAAACTATTTAACTTAAAGCTGGCATGATATTAAGAGATATAAATTGGTCTTGAAAAAATTTGGACTTGGAATGAGGAAGGTTTTTACCCGAGCGCACTTCTGAAATTTAGGTTAGAAGGGAAAGGAGATTTTTATATTTTGAAAGAGGTTGTATAGCTAACTGGCATAATTCCTGTAGGTAGAAAATTAAGCCTGCAGCACGTGTCCTCTTGTCAGCAACCCACATACATCAAGCCTTTTAAAGTAGCCTACACTGAATTCATATAGTGTAAAAATAAAAGTTTGACCTATATTTATACTGGTTTAAGTCCATGCTGAAATCATCCACTGATTTGGTTTAAGCACCATAAAAAATTATCTTTTCTTACAGAATTTGGCCCTGAAGATCTGCAGTTTTACCCTAAAGTCTTAGAAACAGGCTGTGACTAGAGACAAGAAGAGCAGGTGTGTAGTGCTGGTGTTCTGGTTATGCCATCCTCCCTCTGGTGCTCACGCACTCAAACAACAAGCAGGGATTAGGTTGAGGGGCCAGAAAATTTTTTATCTACCCCACAAATCCAATTGGCTTGATATGGTTTTAGTCTTAACTACCCCTCTATCATGGGGTCAAATGTGCTTCCCATGGTCCTCCTTTCCGAGGCAGCTTTATTTAACAAGCTCCATGCTATTGTAAAGGACTTTCTACACTGTGGTACCCTCAGTCTCCTATGTTCCTTTCTCCTGGTCCATTATCTTTGTGCCTTTTTGTTGTTTGCTACAGCTGACAAGTTTGTTATGGAGCAGTGGGAGGTGTGTTGACCTGTGAAGAATGGGACAGGGACAGTAGATATTTTAGGAACCATTCTGAATGCAGAATCTGTTTAGTCAATGTCTGGGATTACATGGAGTCAAGTTGGCCACCTAGGTGGTCTCTTCATTTGATGGGATTTCTTCTGAGACTTCTCTAAGCTGGGAAAATAACACTATCTTAGTGTGGTACTTGTGGAAAATACATAAATAAAACTGTTCCAGGTTGTACAATAGGTTGTACAATAGCTCAAATCTGAATTAAGGACAGTTACCGTAGTTAACTTCAGCTGTATGATGCATTGTGGGCACTTTCAGGGTTGAGCCCTCTGATGTGGTAAAAGGCAACATCTGAGTGTCCATAAGAGAAAACTTCTTTTGCCACATGCTTCTGAAATACATGGTGCTCACCAAGGCAACCTGGCTGAGCGACGACCCAGCAGTCTCCAACGGCATGCCGTGCACATCCCCATCTGCGTGGAAAAGAGACAGGGAGAGGGACACACGCCATCCTACTTGCCCAGGCCTAAAGGCCAGAACTGTGTGACTAAATAAAGCAAGTCAGGACTGCTCTCCATCCCTAAGGGCAAGAGGCAAAGCTCATAAGGCACCGTTAATCCTCTACCTTCCCCTCCCCACATGTACACGGACCTCATCTGGATTGCCTGCTGGTCCATGCTCTCCCCAGAACTGAGTTTGAGTTGGGCAGTGTCGAGGGTCAAAGCTGTGCCAGCACTGTGCTACTTGCTGAGCAGTGCAGATGATGGCAGCCCAGGACTCAGCACTGTGCCCTGGCTCTAACTGCTTTTATGGGTTAAATGTGCCCAGGTATATCTCAGAATTGTTCATCATTAGTACCAGAAATACCTTATGGCATGACTACAGGTTGCTTTACGGAGCAACTAAGTCAACTGGAGCTTATATCCTCATTTTCCCCTTCTCCTCTTTACTTGTCCGTTTAGGTGATCCTGCTTTGGGTATGTCAAAGATTTCTGAAAGAGTGATCCGCTTTTAATTCACTGATACTGCATGTGAGCACTGCAGTTTGACCTCCCATTTTAGTACCTGCTTCTAGAACAATATGTTTCTGTCATGGAGCTGGATCACTTCTTAGTGTTCACTTGAGAAGGACAGAATTTTTTTTTCATTAGTTTCAACAGCTTCAATGTGTGTATTTAACATTAGCTTACATGTTGCTGGCCAAATTAACATTCACATAATTTAAGTTGATGGGGAAAATCAGGGAATGATTTGCTCTGGTGCTTCTAAAGGACTTTCTTTTCCAATTATTTTTTTCATTACACAGAATTAATTTCATTACTTTTCTTGCTTATGTGGAAAGTAAATTCTTTTTATTTCCCATTTTGACTTTTTAAACTCAGATTCTGACTGCTGAGCTTATGGCCCTCCATGTTGCCCATAACACCATGAAAGCATTCAGTGCCATAAACATGGTCCCTGGGGAATTTGGCTGTTCCTCATTAAAAGTGAAAACACTGCAAAGGATTGCCATTTTAAAAATTAGAGGAACAAGGCCAAGTGGTTACCAGCTTGATACTGCAAGCTTATACTCACAGGTTCAGACCTATTCCCACTCTTTCTTCACATTAAAAATGAGTGTCAGCACAAGAATTAGATTTTCTGGCTTTCAGCCTTGGTTTGGACAACGCAGAGTGTGGCAAAAAACCTGTACTTGGTTAAATACAATTTCTTTCATCACTCTCATTTTACATTTTATTCATGTGCATTCTTGTGGGTTGCTGTTACCTGCGAGGTTACTGGTGATCCATTCCTGTATTTGGGCAGCGGTCCTGTTTGGGTCAGTAAAGTTGGTTTGCTGCAGGCTGCTGTTCGCCCAGCGTGCAGCGTGTGCAGTGAAGTGGGGCGAGAGCTGCACGCCAGCATCCACAAAGAAGGAACACGCCAGCTGAACCACCGTGCCTTGGCTTGAGTCGGTCACTCCCTCATACACCGTGCGCAAGAAGTCCTGCATGCTTTGATCTGCCAGGCAAGAGAGAGGGAGAAACTGCAACTGCCATGTTGAGGTTAAGGATTGCCCCAGGGCTCCGCAGCTCTCAGCTCCAGTGATGACACTGGTGTCCTCTGATTGTTAAAGCACCATAACAACGGAAGCGCCCTTGACTTTATGGAGTATTACTGTCAAGTGCTGCTGCTGAGGGCGGTGATGCTCTAGGCATGGTATAAAGCACTCTTCATATTGCTGTAGAAATCACTCTAGTGCAGATGTGTCAAGCAGCTGATCTCACGTCAGGTTCACATATCTATGCAAACACACTTCTGAACAGTTCTATAAGGTACATTATTTTTTGGTCTTGGGCCCTGTCTGAGTTCCCATTAGTGGGATCTAGTACCTCTCTCTCTCCTTCTCTTGCTATTATCCACCTATCCCAGGGAAGGCTCTGACAGCCCCAGGTCAGTCTCTGCCCCTCTTGGCCCCTAGCCATTGTTTTATTTCTTGAAGGATGGTGTCCCAAACTGGTCCAGTATTGCTGATGAGCCCTGGCACTGCTAAACAGAACTAATGGTTGCTTCACATGTGTTATAAGTGACTTGTCTATTTATACAGCCCACAACAATGTCTGCTTTTTTTTAGAGTACAATTGTATTTCCCATTCAACACTATTTTTTGACTCACGGTTCCCCAATTTGAATGGTTGATTATTTCTTGTAAATCTAGAATTTTACACTTGCCCTCACTGAATTGTGTCCTATTAAGTTCACACGTTTCTCTGGCTTTCCAGGATCCTTTTAAATACTATTCTAATCCTCCAAAATGCTTGTAGCAATTAAAAGCTCAGTGTCATTCCAAAATTCAATCATGTGTTCTCTGGTTTGCTGTCTACTAATGGAAATAGTTGAATAATGCCCTGGTCTCCTGTTACTAAAAGCTCGTAGTTGTTCAACAGTGGTGGCTTCTGTGATGGATACATAGCTGAGGTGTGAGCCCAGAAGGAACATAAGCCCTGAAAACACAGAGAATCCTGTCTTTTTAAAATCACTAAGTTCCCATAGACTCTCTTGAAGGGTGATTTAGGCAGAGCAGGAGGGAAGTTAGACAGGACTCCCATCTGGGACATGGGTGTTTTGGGGTGGCTAACCAGAGAAGTGAATCCCACATAGATTGACCTGTCCCAGGCTGATCAAGTTAAGGGCCTTGGGTCAAGGGCAGGATCACTGTGAGACTCCAGCTGCCAGACAGGTCATCAGGAGACTTTTACTGCATTGTTTCAGATTCTCATGGTGCAAAAGGCGAGTTTCACATCTATCGATTTCTACCACCTGAGAATCCAGTGTGTGTTTTCTGACCTAATAGTTAACTACTTTAGTAATCTGGAGGAAGACTAATCACCTGTGGGAAGTTTGGTATTAAAATTTGGTTCTATTAATCTTTAAGGGATAAAATATTGAACTCCTTGAACAGATGTCTAGAAATCTCACATAATCTGAGGTGTAAAGTGCTTTCCTTGTGTGTTCTGCATTAGTATGGGAGCATCTGGCAAGCTCTCTGGAAGATGTGAGAAATTAAGGATGGCAAACTGGAAGTAGATGTGAATGTGAGGGGTAGTATCCCAGACTTGTAACTTCCCCAAAGTGCTTAGCTAACCAAAGTCCTGAGTTCTTACTTGGAGAACAGCTAAAAGTTGCCTTAAAATACTCTACTGTTGATAAAATAAATCATCTAGGAGAAAGCATTTTAAAGCATGTAATTTTGTTTGTGCTGTCTAGAGATACATCCCTTTATGCATTGTTTTTCTTAGTATTAGAATAAAAGTGAACAAATCTTCCAAACATTGAAAGAAGATTACAAGTGCGTGCAAGAGCAGATTCTCCATGAACAGTAAATAAACCATCAATGTTTTCATTGTTTTCAGCCTGCTAAGTTTTTAACCTCATCCTTCATTATTGTTTAGGGCAGACCAACAAAAACATTGATGCAAACACCTAGTTGAAGAAAGGGATTTTATCACATATGCATACCCATATAATTTGGTTTTACTCATATGATAGGAAATTTCATCTAAATATTTGATTTATTTATTTGACTTATTTATTTGATTTAGACCATTTGAGGAAGTGGTTTCCTTCCTCATTTCTGGAAATATGCTGTTATAACCAATAGCAATAGATCCCATCCTACTTTATTTTCACATTCGTGCATTATTATTACTGAAAGCCAAAGCTCATGTGGCTTGTGCCACAAACAGCTAAAATGGAGATATAATGTCTGCTTGCTATGATGTGCCACGTGAGAAGAGAGCATAAAAGAGCTAGCAAGTCATTAACAACCTCTGCACTTCTCTTTGTTACATTTTCTGTGGAGATCTGTGCTTGAATTTCACTGTGAAATGTTATTCTGTAAGGTTCTTTCTTTATAACTGAACCCTTAATGACCAGAAGCATCAAGCAAGGCATAATCCTTGTGTGAATTAATGTTGTTTAGGAACTGAAAATTTACTTTGAATTTACTGAAAATTTACTTGAAAATTTATTTATTTACAGAAATAGGAGTCTTATAGGCAAGAGTTCATTGTATCAGCTGCTCGTAATATAGATGCACTGTTCCTATGTCAGTACATGTAGCTGATGGCTTTATCTTGATTTGTCAGCCAGAGTTAGCTCTGACTGCTGTGTTGGTTTCGAATATTGATCTTGTACAGAATGGTGATGGTAACTAAGTCAGGTTACAGCACAGGAAGATGAAATTACTGTAGGTTTTATCTTTAGTTTTTACTCCTTGAAAGTGAATTTTATGCTGAGAAATAGAAGTGTCATGTCTATACATAAGTCTTGTATATAAGCTGCAAATTTTGAAGATGAGGCAGTCATCTGCTTTTCATAAACATTCTGCCCATAACGTAAAATAGTTTTTGACATGTGATGTGAGATGGTAGGATAATCCAAAGCTAAAATGAAAACAGCATCCTTAAATTAAGCTGACTTAATGCTGGATTTAAAGACATCTGTCTTTCCCACATCCCTTCCAAATTCCCAGTGAGTTTTATTTTCGCCTGCTTTCAGGGAAAGATGCAATTGCACCATCCATCTGTCAATGTGTATCTCTGTCTGCCAGTCTCCTTCTGATAACTTTTCATCTTTTTGGCCAGTTGTAATAACATCATAAGTCTTAAAGATGATTCAACTTCTACAGGTTTCATTTGTTAATGGATGGGAGAGAAAACAACTCTCCTCTGCCTGGCACCTCTTTGCAGAACACATTGGGGAGAACACGGCAAGGTGGACACGATGAACCTCTAGGAGATCTGGAGCAATTCTGCTGTTCATGGAAGTGTCTTTTCTAAATGTAGCTGTATTTTTGTTCTGTGAGTAAGCACTGATTCAGGAAAAAGTGGAACAATAACACATATATCAGCTACTCCTTTGAGTTTCCTTTGTCCATATGATACCTGCCTATCAAAGATGGAGAAAACACCCCTAAACTAGATCTTGCAGTGAAGCAAAAAATGGAAGTTTAGTGTGACGTGTCCCATTCATGTTCTCCTTATTAAGCTATGAATTTATTAAAAAATATAAGACAGTAAGTATTTTTTTTAAGCAATACATACCATGAATGTTGTATCCTAGGGCATCCTGCAGCTCTGTAAGGGTATTTCCTTGTGCTCCAAACTGCAGCAGTTCCAAAGAAACAGCCACACTTGCTGGAGAGACTACCAGATTCGTTCTGTTCTCTGCTTCAGATACATGGTGGTAGAGTTTGATGGCAAATTCAGTTTTCAGCTCTTTCAGCTCATCATAGGAGATGCAGTTTCCTTTGGTTAAGCAGCAAGCAGACAGGATAAATGCAGAGAAGAAAATGGGCAACATGAAGGCGATCTGGGAACACTCTCCACCAGCTAATCATACCTGCAATTAATAACACAGATATATTTAGGAAAGTAATAGGCTGAGAGACAGAGAAACTTTCTCATTCCATCAGTGCTGAGATATCACTGGCAATAGTAACGATCACTATTAAAATACTTGTCCAGGTCTACTCAGTATCTGTTGTCATTAAAAAAAAGAAAAAAGAAAAAGGGACATGCTGATGACTCTGTTGACTAACAAGGATTGAATTTTCCAGAATGCTGCAGCATATAGGATGGTTGGACATTACAGAGTCCCTTGTCTCTCTTGTGTGGAGACAAAGAGCCCCTTGGTTAAAAAGTTAGCTACCTGCACACATGATGACTGCACCTCAGTGCAGTCTCCAAGCTGCTGAGCACCCGCAGCTCCTTTCTGTCCCCAACACTCCCAAAAGAAAGGCCACCCCTCATGAGGTGCAGAAGTCTAACTGGAGGCTCCAGGCTGGGCTTTAGATCCGAATTTGCAAAAGGCTGGCTTCAAATGTCCCCGCAGATATTCCTCCTATGAAATTTATCCCAGGGAAAATAAGGTTGTATTTGCAAAAGGTTCTGGTGCTTGCAGCACAAAATCACTATGTCGTATTTTTTTTTGAAATCAAGTATTGGTCAACTTTATATAAAGAGGCACTTAAGATTCATATTAAAAGGAATAATGCTAAAATGACAGAATAGCTTTCCTTACAGAATTTCACCTTCTGAAGATTGTATGCAAGTATATTTTAAAAACTACTGCACCTTCTTTCACCTCAGGATTTTCTACAAATCTTTCTCCATGCCCTTTGCTCTAGAGAACACCTCTAATGCTTTGCATTTACTCACAGTTAGCTCTGTTAAATTGTCTTGCCTTTCTGTGTCCTTCTGTGTGTCTGAATGGAAGCTGTCTATGAACGTCTTGTCTGTCTCCTTCTTTAATAGGTAGTGGAGTAAAGACTAAGTCATGAGACTGCATTTAAAGGGATAGTCAGTGATCAGAGTCTCTGTCGGCGATGTCTGTACCACTCTGTCCAAATTCCTGTAGGCTACAAGCTCTATGGAGAGCCAGGCAAAGCAGCATGCCACTGACCAGCAAATCCAAGGCAAGGAACAAAAAGGTACACATGGAGATAGAGTCAGCAGCTTCCTTGCAAGCCCTGCTCGAGCCTCATGAGACTTGTGACCTGCTGGTACCGAGTAAGGCATCTCCTATCTCTCTTCCCACCCCCCTCCTTCTTTTATATGAATTCCATTGATTCCTCTGCCACAAAGGGAAAGAGAAAGGGCTCTCTGTGTACCAGGCACACAGCTATTTTTTTACCCCCACTTTGAAAACTTATTCAGAAATCCCATGCAATTAAAATGTCTTTATTTCCCCCTTTTTTTAAATTAATGCCATCCCAAATAGCAATATTTTCTTTTACTCTTTAGTTTCCAGAAGGAAAGAAACAACAACATGGTGCACTTGAAGGAGATTGAATAAGAAAGGGGTTGCTTTGAATGGAGCAGAAGCAGAAGAGCTGTAGTTGTGACTGCTTTAAGAGCAGTTATAGCTGTTCATGGCTTTCTTCGTGTGATGGGGTTAAAAATCCTCCCCATCACATTCACAGGTTCAGCCTCACAGGTTCAGCCTCACAGCTTCACAATGCCAGTTAAAGGAAGATTTGGGCTTAAAAATTAATGTAAAACTGCAGTTCATTGGTCTTCACAGAGTTTGACACTATATATATATACATATACTTAGCTATTTGACAACATACATTCCTGTTGGAAGAAGACATTGGGAAAAAGTTCATTACAATCAAGCAATAATTTAGGTGCACCTGTTTTATTCTTAACAGGTAAGGAACAGCTTCACAATGGAATTAGGACCCAAATGAGAATGAAGCAAAAAACAGACCTCCCTTCCTCTGTATTTGTGCTGTTCCTCTCTTTCTTCTGTTTTGAGAAGACATCAGAACAGATATGGATACTGGGGTCTGTTTTTAAAGATCCTGGGCTTTAGACTACATTCCTGCTAGGACTGGTGAAGGGAAAAAGCTTGGTCAGTCGCAGTCTAGTACAACAGGCAGGGATGTTGCTTTTGCTAGGGATTTCAATAAAGTATCCTTATGCTGAAAATTACATTTGAGCTTAAGGGTTTGACTGAATGAGGACCTCTCTGTTGAAGTTATCATTAACAGTGTCCACTGGACTGGAGTTGTATTCAGAGGGAATGAAACAGAGGCCACCAAGTGATTTCTCAAAGGGCTCAGAGCTGTCAACAGATAAATTAACTGCGGTCACTGGTGAGGACTATACAGGTGGATTTGATATGAAGTTCCCAGAGGCTCCAAACCTGATAAGACATTTCCTCTGTGCCCTGCTTGTTACTGTCCTGTGGATTTATTAAGATTTAAAAGAAAGATAAGGAGTCCCTGGAGGTTTTAGGCATGACTGTCAAAAATTAGCATTCAACTGCCATTTTGCAAAAATGTTACTATCACATTTGTGATATGTATTTATGGAAGATGTAATTGAAAATTACACCTGGTATAAATGTTGTGTAGAGCAGCATAGTTTCAGTGGGAATGGGTAATATGTGTTCTGGGTCTTGTCTCATCACAGAGGGGAACTTAGAAATTGGGGGGTTTGTTTCAAATCCTCCCTCTCTGCACGTACTTTAGGAAAGGAAGGATGTAGAGGAACCTTAGCAGCAAAAACAGTGTTTGCAGACAAGGAGAGAGGACTTAATAAAACTAAAACTGGATCAACACTGTACAAAGCAGCCATGGAAAACAAGAAATGTGCTTTACATATAATAAAAAGAAAAGAAATCCTTTGGTGAATGATGAGAAATATAGAAGGCAGTGGAGTAAGAAAGAAGTAAGAGTCAGTGAAACTACTGTGACTAAAAAATAAGTTATAAAATACTGGAGGAAGGTTGTGAATATGTATCATAATCAAGGTCAGAAACAAAAATTCTCACACCTGTTCAGTTTAGCAACCCAAGTTTTAAGTTTTTATTCCCAAAACTGAGATCCAAGGCTGACAACTGGGTGTCTGTGGAGAAGCTGGTGCCACATGAGGATGAGTCTGAAAACTGAGTTTGCCAAGTGAGTCCATGGAGCCAGGAACTGAGCTGTCCAAATGAGTGTAGTTTGGGGGGGCCTGCAAATCAAATAAGCTAATTACAGAAATCCTGTGTTAGAAATAGAGGTGTCCTGGACCTACTGATGTAGTAGGGTTGGGGGTTGGGATGCTTTTGAGAAAGGGAGTTTCTGGGTCTTTCTAAAGGATTTAAACTTTTTTTTTTTTTAGCATCTTCATACCTGCCTGTGTCCTAGTTTAGGCATTACATCCTTCTTTGGTCTGAATCTGGCTATGCATCACAATGTACTGAGGAAAGTACTGATACATTTTCTGGAAATAATTTTATTTTTAAGATAACTCCTCAAAGCCATAAAGGGGCAGAGGTCGCAGCTGTATTTTGAGAAATGGTTTTTCACACTGAGATAACTTAGACTGCCTCTGAAGGAAGTGAGAAAAGGCACAAGCTGAGGATGTCTGGAGAAAACACAGCACAGGGGTGTGTGTGTAGGAACCTGGATCACAGAATCCTGTGTCTCTGTGGAGGTCCTCTGAGCATCTACAGGTGCAGCTCTGAAAACTGCAGAGGGATCCCAATCTTTCCATTCCCTCACTGAGCAGAAAAACCACCACTCTTTGAGAGGGAAAACAGCAAAGAGCTTCCTGATGTGTGAACAGCCCCCAGACAGGGAGCAAACTGGTGGAAAGCACTGGAGACAAGCCATAAGTGGTGATTGTTTTCATCAATGGATTAGATCCTGTCTGTGTCTGCAGTGTGCCAATGCTGTTACTGCACGGGCCCTCTATGTCCTCCTGAGTGACCATGGTAGTGGGCAAGGGGACAGACTGCTGAAGCACCCACAGCTGCTCAGCACTGACAGAGCCATCATAAGTGGCTCTGCAATGTCTTGTCCAAAAGTATGTAGAAGTAGAAAAAGAAAGATGAGGAAAAGAGAAACAGTCAGAGGCAGCTGTTCTCCAGAACTTCGTCTTCAAGGTCTTCGTGGGCCAGATTCTACTCTAAGGTACAGCACTGCGAAAGGCAAAATTGGGTCCTGGAGCAGATGGGGAGCTGCTGGAGGACTGTGGGCTGTGGAAAACAGACTCAGGGTTGAGCCTCCATGCCATCAGGGAGGAAGGTGAGGAAATTGTTCAGCCCTGGTAGCACTAGAAGTCACAGGACTCAAATGAGAAACCAGAGGGAAAGGCACAGCCCGCATGGGCACTAGGGGCAGAGAGAGATTTATTAGGAAACCTTTCCCCACAACCAGTTGTTTCTCATAAGAGACTGGAGTTTTCTCTGATTTACTAATCTGTGTTCTAAGAAAATCAAGCCCTAGTTTGGTGTAGCTGCTGAGAGGAACAAGGGAACAGTTCTTCTTTTGGGCCCTGGCCAGTTTGGTCTTCTGCTGCATGGACTTTACACAGTGATCTGGATCAGAATTTGGCCCAGGGAAAGGCTGGAAGATAAAAGATAAGAGAACCAGTTGGGGAGCAGCTTTTCCTCTTCAGAAACCTCTTGTTTGCTTTTCTGTGTCAGGTCAGGCTCCCGTAATCATAGAATCACAGAATCATAGAATCAGCCAAGTTGGAAAAGACCTCTGAGTTCATCAAGCCCAGCCCTTGATAATCTTCCTTCCACTCTAGCACAACCCTATTATCAGTAAGATTACTATACACTTAATCCTTCATAAATGATAACAGAATTTAACCTTCTATCTGCATCTGGTTTTTGTGTGCTTGCTCTCTTTAACATATAGAATAACCCTGGGGAAATTAAATAGAATCCAAATCAACTTCCTTCCTGCTTATATCTCTCCTCCAGGAGAGAGCCTGCAATGCAAGACACTAGCACATTTGCTCTGTCAGGAAGGTGGTTCTGCTGAATCTCAGGACAAGAAAAATTTGCATCATCATTTTATACAGAGCTTATTCTGCAGGGAGGCAGCTGGCTGTGGA